TTTTGTCTCACAGCAATTTTTTTTTTTTGATAGGTGGTTTATTTTCCACTACGCCTAATTTCTTGCAAGTAATACTGAAAGTATCTCTAGCCGGCATTTTTCGCAAAAAAAAATTCATTGTACAGAACTTGCGGAAGTTGCAGACGAATTGTATATCTGTTAAGAAATCAAATAGTCTTAGGAAATTTATCAAATCTGGCATTTTCCATTTTTTTTTTTTTTTTGGGAAATTTAGCAGATGTAAGAAATCTGGACATTTAATTTTTGAAAGCGAAGCTACATTTTTAGATATCATTTAGCTAAGGTTTGGTTCAGCCTGACACAAAAATACGACGACAAAATTGCAGGTTGTTGTGCTGCTAAACAGTCTCTACACGAATTTTGACTCAATTATTGAAGCCCATGGTGTTTACAAGGTTTTTATTACCGATTATTAAAAAGAGACTAAATATAAGTAAATTTTCTACTAGATGTTTGTAAGCAAACATTCAAAAATCTTAATTGAACTGGATGATTTTCTGTAAAGGTTGAAACTATTGGTGACGGATATTTGTGCGTTTCCGGTTTACCGATTCGTAACGGTAATCAGCATGCTCATGATATTGCGGAAATGTCATTTGATTTTCTAGAAAGCATAAAAGTGTTTCGTGTTCCACACTTGCCTGACGAACGAATGCAGATACGAATTGGATTCCATACTGGTTATTTTCCAATCAGTGGTTTAACGTTTTAAACAACTATTTATTTTACAATAAAATTTTTCAAATAATAATTAACATATTTGGTTATTTGGACGTAGTAAATAATGGTTTTTATGGTGTGTGTTTAAGCTTTTTTTTTATATTAGTTAATAATTAGCTGCTAACAACTGATAAGATGGAACCACGCAGTACTTTGTGGTTCCATCTTATGCGACCTCCCGTAATGGAAGTTCGAAGGCAACATAGCTGCATTATCCGCTGTATGGGAGTATCCCAGTAAAATTACTAGTGTGATATCTCCGTACCGATTATCGGAGCGGACTTGAACATTCTCAAAATCCTTTAATGTTCTGAAAAACTAAATAAAGATGCATAAGACTTAGTGGAATGAAAAATTTCTGCTTAGTTTTTTTGTTTTAATTTTATTTCAGTCTTCCTTTGTACATAGTTTGTGCCATTATCCACTTGCACATAACCCGTCATTGCCACGCCTACATTCTTTTAAAACAATTCAAATTGTGTTAAGTCATTCTATTAATTTGGGCAAAATTCTTTAGGACCTTGCGTTGCCGGTGTTGTGGGTATTGCAATGCCACGATATTGCTTGTTTGGTGATTCCGTAAATACTGCATCCCGTATGGAAAGCAGTGGAAAACGTAACTGTTAAAATTCGAAACTTCCCCAACTTTTGTGCTTCCATCATGCCTTTTACGCATTTCTTTTTAAATAGCGCCAAATGTGTTCCACAACAAGGCTGCTTGTCTTACTTCAAAGCACGAAAAATACAATAAATGCGTAAAAACGCGTTTGTCTTGAATGGCCGAATCCCGACAAAAAGCAAAGTTAAAAAAACAAACACCTGTTCAGTGTTCAAAGGATTACTGATTTATTGGTGCAATTAGCGAGCTTGTGCGTGCTGCAGAAGTTTTATCCGTCTGTTTAGAAAGCCACGAAACAGTAGATCAAGGGCAAACCACCAGGACTCCGTGGACTACCTACTCAGGCAAATTAGCAACAGCGGTGCAGCCTTGAAACTTACTAAAATGATAGTTTTGATGCGAAGGCACGCTTTAATAACTTTTATGAATGGAATGGTCGACTGATTCGGGAAAAGTCGATCAACGGCGTTAGTGACAGAACAACAGAATGTATAGTAAAATGCGTGAACCTTGCAAAAGTCTCACTTTTCAGTGAAATTTGTACTGCTTTCAGCTGGGCAAATACAC